GAGGTCCAGACACGAGCCCAACGTCCAGGCGCCTCCGCCCTCGAACCTCTCTGTTCCCTCGGGGCCGGCGAGACGGAGGAGACGCGCGCATCAGTTGCACGCAGCTGGATTTCCTGGCGTTTGGGCGCTCATGGCGTTGTTCGTTTCAGGTTTATGCTTTTCTATGGCGCTGATGGCATCTGTGCTCTGTTTACGTCTGTGGCGTTGTCGTGTCTTCGTCGAGTCTGAGAGCTCCGTGGGGCCGTCTGGGAGCCCCGCTGTGTGCCCGTGCCTGGGCACCACCCCCCCAGCGCCAGAGGAGGTGATTTCTCGAGGAAGAGGCTTCGCGGCGAGACTGAAGCCAGCTGCACGCAGCAGATCCCGCCCCCCCCCCATTTCCCTATGTCGCAGGCCTGGAGATTGACACCAACACCAATTTCGGCGGTTTGCCTCCACCGAGGGAAGAAGATCCCGATCTCGGCGATGGTGGTAATATTCTGGCTTCCACGGTGGCCGAACAATTACCACCAGCACCGAAAATCTAGGATCACCTTCCCCCTGTGGAGGCAACCCCCTGTCTTGGTGTCGGTGCCAATTTCCAGGCCTCCGACTTTGGCCCCGGGCGTCTGCTCCGAGGGTTCCTCGTCGTCTGGCATGCCGGTCCTCGCTGGGCTTTCTGGCGGCCGTTCGGGGCGGCGATCATGGGCACCAGCGGAGCGCCCTGGGCGAGGCGTAGCCGCTGGGAATCACCCTGAGGCCAGAAAACAGCCGAGAGCCGACGGAACGCGAAAACAGAACCTCAAACATCGAGCCCTCTTCGGTCCGACACGGCCCTCGATCTCTTAATCAGTCAATGGCCTGGAAACCAACTACTGCGCTGCCGTGTGCTGAAGGTAAGGTCTGCCAGGCACAAGCCCAGGACGCTTGAGCCGCAACGAGCCTGCCCAAACATGCCGTGCCACTGCACGTGACCGCGCGGCAGCTGGCTTCAGGCCAGAGCCCCAGAGCACGGGAATGGCGGGCTCGATCTCCGATGCGATCTGGTCGGGGCCGCCCCGCCACGCTCGCGGGGGGGGAGGGGGGACACTGCCTTGAATCGGCGACAGATCGGCGCTGCGCCCAGCGTAGCGAGACCGCCCGCTCCCGGGGCTGGAACGGGCTGTTGGGCCCCTGCCTTGAGGAAAACAAAGAAGTGCATCAGCATACCTAATGGGACGCACAGGGACATACTAATACTATATGTCCTCCTTGGAGGCGCGCGTCCGACCCGAACATACAGTATATCCATCTTGTAGAATATAGTTTCCCGAGCGGTGTGGTCAGAAAGCGCCCGCCACGACGCATACACTATAAGACTTCTCGGTGCGCGCGTCACCCCTAGGGGGGCGACGCACACGTAGTATAAGTATGCTGGGGGGACGCCGACCTCATGTCTCCGAGGTCTGGAGGTGTATGTGTATACCGCTCGGTTCTTCTTCGGCAATCCAGTCCAAATCCGCGCAAACTCTTTCCGTGGGCCAAGGCCGAATGAAACAGGAGCCCGCCAGAACGGACGGGCAACGCGAGCTTGAGCCAGTGCCCCCTGAGCCCGTCCCCCTCCCGCAGCGGTGCCCCCGACAACGCTCGGGGACGCACGGAGCCAGGTCAGCACTAACCGGGGTCGGCCAGGGCCTTGTCGCAAAGCCCAGCTGGTCGCTTAGTAACCCCAATCCGGGAGGATGAGGGGGTTACCGAAATCATAAACTGGAGGATCTGGAGCGATTGGGATCCTCAGTAACCCCAATCTGGAGCGATTGGGATGTGGACCGAAATCGTAGACTCCCCAACACGGGCCAGCGGGGTTGAAAGAGGGGATCGGCCCCTCGCGGCTCCCCGAACTCGGGTCGTGGGGGGGCACAGAGAAAAGCATGAGCATCCTTTCGATGAGGTCCTCGCGGATTTCTTGGATCCGCGCTGGACCCCCCTCCTGGCGCGCGGAGCGCGCCAGGGGCGGCGCTGGAGGCGGTGCCAGAGGAAGGCCAGTGCGGATCCAAGAATACAGCGCGGACCGTACGTTTGCGCAGCCGCTTCTTCTTCTTCGAGTTACCGCTGACCCCCGTCACGTGAGCCCTGGAAGTCGGGTGGTGCTCGAAGTGTCCCTGGCCCAAGGTGCCCCCAGCCTTTCGCTCCATTTTGCCTGCAGCCCCTGGGGGCCCTCTGGGCCTCGTGAGGGGTGCTCTGGAGGCCGATTGGGCTACCCCGAGAATCCCAGGGACACCTTGGTCCAGGGGCACTTTTATCGGCGATGGACAAACCTCCCTTTAGTAAACCTCCCCTTAGTGAAAACGGCCCGGGACCGAAACCGACGGACCTGGGCCCACAAAAATGACGGCCGCGACGCCCTCTCGCGAACCGAAAACGGCCAATTCCTCAATCGACGTGTCAGGGTAGGAGGTCTATCCACCTCCGATTCTAGCAACACCCGAGAAAGGCTCAGCGGGGTCCGCCGCCGGCGCGCGAGGCGCAGGGCGCGGCCCGGGGCCTTTCGACCGCGCCATCTTTCTGAGCTCCTGGCGGGCGGGCCGGGGCACCGGGTAGAGGGCCCGCGTTGTGCCAGAGGCGCCTCTAGCCCAGGGCGTCTCCATGAGTTCTCCCGAGTTCCCTCCCTCGTCCCGCGGGCTTGTTTACTCCTGGTGTTGCCAATTGTGCCCCTGGCCCAGGGTGTTTCCAAGACTTCCGAAGACGCCCCCGCTGCCTCCAGTCGGGAGGAGGGGGCAAAAGGGCAGAATAGTAAAAGGGTAGAGTAGCAGAGCGCAGGGCAGAAAATCAGCTCACGCATCTAGTTTTTCTGGCGCCGCCTTGCGCCCACCTATCGAGGAATGGGTCCAGAAGCGGGGCCTCAACCACCTGCACGCGGCAGATCTCGTACCGACCCTCTTCCCTATCCCACCCTTTCGTCCGGCCCGACCCACGGCACCCCTCACGAGGCCCAGGGGCTCCAAAGTAGAACGACAACCTGGGCAGCACCTTGGGCCAGGGGCACCTTAATCTTGAGCTAGTCCTGATCGGTGGGGGCTGGACCACCGCGGAGGACGGAAAGGGAAGGGGAGGTCATCAGCGGGATGCGAACCCGGATCTTCGAAAGATTATAGTTTTCAGTCCTGGCGCTGGTTCTCCACAGTTTCGGTCTCCTGCTTCCGGTCCTTGTGTCCGGGGGACCCTGCCAAACTTGATTTTGGACGAGCAGCTGTGCCCAGGGGGGATGACCCGCGAAATGAAAAATTAACGGGTGACGTTCCCAACCCTGTCTAGACATATGACGATTAAGCCGATGTATTTAAATACACTCACATAGATGTGTATTTCTAGGACCGCTCAGTGTAATCGCACATGCTGAACAAGCCGCAGTGCGCATGAGTTCCCAGACGCACGCACAAAAACACGCAGGAACAAACAGTATCGAGACGGAGACTGAAGCGTAAAGAGGGGTGCGAAGGAGGGACATACATGTTTGGTAACATAAACAGCGCTGAGCGCTACATGCGCGGGAAAGAACAACACCATGCGCTCGCTCTACAGCAGAGCAGCGCGTCGCGCTGAGCGGCGCAAGCGCGCGGGGTGGCATGGCGGGCCAGAGGTGGTTGAACATGGGAAGCCACGCGGACAGCAAAAAACGACACCATGTGCTGCGTGGCGCAGCGGTTCCCTGCGAGCTGCGATGCGAAAGCGCCGAGCGCTGCGTGACAGGACAGCGCCGCGCACTGTGGAAACCCCCTGCCATTGGCATCTGGGATGCGAAGACTTGCCGTCAATGGCATTTCTCGCAGCCGTCCGCGCCAGCGAAGCGCCGGCGACCAGCACCGAGGCCTGACACAGCAGGCCAAATCTCCCCCGTCGTGCAGGGACTGCTCCAGGCCGACCTCGCGCGCCAGCCTCTCCACGCCGCCTTCCCGCAACGTGCAGCGCGGGCGCTGGTTTCACTCTCCGCAGTCCCCCCGGGGTCCTCGTGTCCCCCCACTCCGCTGGACCTCCCAGGAGCCCACGAAAAAGTAATGGCGGCCTCACACGTCGCAGCCCCTCTGAACCACGAGGCATCAAAAGGATCCCCGTGTCCCCCCCCCCACTCCGGTGCACCTCCCAGGAGCCGACGAAACCAACGCCAGTTCAGACTTTGCAACCACCAAAAGAACCGCGAGGTCCCACCTGGATCCTCGTGCGTTCCTCTACTCCGCCCCCAACAAGTCGCGAGGTCTCCACCGGATCCCCGGGTCCTCCTACTCCGCTTGACCTCCCAGGAGCCCACGAAAGTGGCGACAGTCTGACACTTCTTACACTTCGCACCCCCCCCAAGGAACTCCACTCCGCGCGACCTCCCAGGAGCCCACGAAAGTGGAGACAATTTCGCAGCCCCCCCTGGGAGCCGCAGGGTCCCAACAGGATCCCCGCACAACTCCACTCCGCGCGACTTTCCAGGATCCCACGAAAGTGGCAACAATCGCGCAATTCGCAGCCCCCTGGGGAGCCGCGGGGCCCCAACTAGATCTCCATACAACTCCACGCCGAGGGACCCTCGGAAAGCTCACGAAAATGGTGCCAATTGCACACTTCGCAGTCTCCCAGGGAGCCGCGAGGTCCCAACTGGACCCGCGTGCGACTCCACTCCGCGCGACCTCCCAGGAACCCACGAAAGTGGCGACTGTTGCACACTTCTCAAGCCCCCCGGGGAACCGCGGGGCCCCAACTAGATCCCCGTACAATTCCACGCCGCGGGACCTCCCAGGAGCCCACGAAAATGGCGCCTAGCTCACACCTCGCAGCCCTCCAAAGAGACGCGGGGCCTCGCCCGGGTCCGCGCGCAACTCCACTCTACTGGACCTCCCAGGAGCTCATGGGAGAAGCAGAGAGCGGGAGAGAGGGGATCTGAGGCAGGAGAGAGGAAGAAAAGGGAGGCGGAGGAGGAGGACACTCGACCACAGTGCTCTTTCCAAAACGAGAACCCAACGCAGAAGTGTCGGGGAATGCATCGTGTCTGGGGAGAGGAAGGGGGGATCGCGAAGCGGATGGGAAGGGGGAGGGGGGGAGGGGGCGAGAGGACCGACGGAAGAGGTGTCGGAGGGAGGCGAGAAGGGCGGATGAGGGGGAGGAGCGGGCATGGATAGACGACGTCACCCACGAGGGTGGCAGAAAGAATAACGAGAGCGCCGCTTTGCCCACGCGGGTAAAACGTCCCAAACGGGTAAAACGTGACGCCGAACAGGGCGCGGGCGAGCACGCCCTGGCAAACCGACCACACATCATAGCTTCCCTTAGCAAGGCAACGGGCACACGTGCACAATGAGGAAGCAGGCACGAGCTGAATCCGTCCTCTGGCCTCCTATGATTGGCGACCCCCCAATAGCGCCGGAAACGCCGTGCTTCAGGGGGGACACCAACAAACAGGAAGCAACGGGCAGGACCCGAGCATTGGTCCAGCGAACGCAACCCCGCAGGGTGGGGTGGCCCCCTGGCCCCTTCCCCCCAGCCAACAGGCGGGGCGGGAGGAGGCCCCACCAGGGGCGGGATTGGTCAAGTGCTGGGCCTACCCAGCAAGACAACACGGGGCGGTACCCAGCGCCAGAACCTCATCGTAACGCGGCAAACGACATGCCCGCGGCGAATAGCATTCCAACCAAAGTGGTTGGACGCTGTGGGCCGCGGGCACCCGCCTCCGCAACACCATCGGCGGTGCACCTCATACAGGAGGTGCCACACGGCGCCCAGGCTGCACCGCTTGGCCGCGGTGGCAGGGACTTTAAAAATACCCTGGCCTGACGGCGAATAACGAGAGCGGGAGGGGGAATGCGAGGAGGCAGAGGGAAGAAGGAGGAAGAGGAGGACGACGACGAACAGCAATATATGCAAGCATGTCTCCATACAGTGCGTGCAAGGCTGTAACGAGGGGGAAGGGGAAGAGAAGGTAGGGTGAAGAAACATAACGAGTGTAGATTATATTCGGTAGTCGCAGAAGCAGTGGTAGCAGTAGGGCGAATAATGAAGCAGGCAGAAGAGAAACAAAGTAGTAGCAACAGTGGTGGAGCAGGTGTAGCAATACGGATGAAACTAGTCATACATCGTAATGGTAGAAGCCGTACTTAACTGGAGAGAACTCTAGCGGCATCCGCACGTGTCTTGCGGTTCCTGATAACTTCTTCAAGCCTACCTCCGCATCTCTCCGATGAACCCTCATCAAAACCATTGCTTCGGGATAAGAGTTCTGGTTGCCGCTACTATTCGCGGAGGTCCTCGGAGGTTTCCGCAAGCTTCAAATGTTCAAAAAGTGTCAGCCACATCCTCGCCATCAGTCGCCATGTGGCACATGACCACCATCTCCACACCCAGGGTGGTTCTCATCGTCGCCATCCTCGTAATCGCCATCACTATCGCACCACCGTCCTGATCACAACCACGGCGGCGACTAGACTTGTCAAGACCAAGATCAGAAGGTCTGATCTCCCCTCATCCGCTGGTCTCTCCAGCAAAACGGCCCCGGAGCCCGATGCCCAAGGATAAATGCATTAACAGTGAACATGTCATTTCGATGAGCTTGCCTCCCAAGACGGTCGGCCGAATACTTCCTCAGGAAAGCTTTGGGGAGCCGCAGGACTCGTCGCGAAGCCTGGGGTATCTCAGTCTGCACCCCAAAGGCCACAAAATAAGCACCCAAAAAAATACGGCCCCAACAAAGCCGGTGTATCTCAGTCTGCACCCCCGCCCCTGCCTGTCCCCCTCCTTCTTGCTCCTCGCTCCTCTTGCTCCTCCTGCTCGAAGTGCCAGAATGCTGCATGTGTGGGATTTCCTATCACATGAATGCTCCCGCGAAAAACAACGAGAGAGAGGGAGATGAGCAAAGACAAACACGAGATAAAGGCAAAAGCTGGAATGCGACGCGCAAACAAACCCGTGGAGGCTGCGATGGCTGCGCGCCCCATCCTCCTGCTCCTCCTGCTCCTCGCTCCTCCTCCAGCTCCCCCTCCTGCTCCTCCTCCTCCTCCTCCTCCTCCTCCTCCTCCTCCTCCTCCTCCTCTCCTCCTCCTCCCTCCTCCTCCTCCTCCTCCTCCTCCTCCTCCTCCTCCTCCTCCCCCTCCTCCCTCCCTCCCTCCCTCCTCCCTCCCTCCCTCCCCTCCCCCCCCTCCCCTCCCCCTCCTCCTCCCTCCTCCTCCTCCTCCTCCTCCTCCTCCTCCTCCTCCTCCTCCTCCTCTCCTCCTCCTCCTCCTCCTCCTCCTCCTCCTCCCTCCTCCTCCTCCTCCTCCTCGCTCCTCCTCCTCCTCCTCCTCCTCCTCCTCCTCCTCCTCCTCCTCCTCCTCCTCCATCCTCCTCCTCCTCCTCCTCCTCCTCCTCCTCCTCCTCATGCCCTCCTCCCCCTCCCCGCTGCGTCCTGCACCTTCAGGGAGGACTGGTGGATCTCGGACCCGATCTCCGCGGACCAGACGTTCAGCTCGGACTGCCCCCGCCCCCCTCTCTCGACGGAAGCGCTCCACGACTCGCACATGTGACTGCTCGCAAGGTGGTCTGGATCCGCCGGGGGGGACCTACGAGAAATGGCATCGAAGCAGAAATGTGTACTTCGGACGTTTGCGAGTACAGTGCGGGCAAAGAACCCAACCCCGAGAACCCGTCCGCTAGGTGCACCGGAGAGGAAACCTGGAGCACCCCGAACGCAGCAGCTTCTTCAGCAGGTGCGGGAAGTCGCCGCGCAACGCGAGGAGCGAAGAAACCCAGGATGGCGAGGAGAGAGGAGTAAGAAGGAGGAGGGAGGAGGAGGAGGAGGAGGAGGAGGAGGCCAAGGAGGAAGAGGAGGAGGAGGAAGACAAACAAGAAAAAGAAACATGAGGTTTTTTGTTTTGCTGCAAGAACGATGCCTGGCGGTCCCCGCCCCAGCTCGCCACATGTGAGTCGGATGGGCGGGCACTCCGCCTCGGGGTGCCATCCCGCCCCTTCCTGATTCAGTCCATGAGGCACTCCCAGAAAGCGGCGCACTCCTCCTGTACCAGGGAGCGCGGTACCGCCTCCAGGGAGACCTTCACTGCGTAAGGATTTCTGCCTCGGCGCAGGAGCGAGAGGCGGTACCCTGCGGTGGGGTTCGCAGGGGCCCCCACGCAGGCACCCAGGAGCTTGCACCCCCTCTCGCTCGAGAAAACACCGCACCGATCGCAGAATGTATACTGGCCCACGCGGTGCAATTCATGCCCCAGGGCCGCACCGCGGAGGGCGGGAGAAATGTCACCTTCCCCCACCCCCCGCCCCAGCCCGACTCCCCAACGACGATCCACCCTCATCTTACCCTGGCAGGGCCTGCGCGCCAGCGCGCGCCTGGTCTTGCAGGAGAAGGCCTTTCGGCCACACGTCGAGTAACGCCACGCCCCCCTCCTCCAGAGGAGGACGTGGGCGCGGGCCCCCTCGGGCGGCCCTTGCCGCCGTCGGCGGGCTCCGCTGGAGCCCGCGGCAGGCCTCCCCGTGGAATCCCCGAAGTCCGCCGTAAGCCCCGTCACCCCCGCCACCAGAGTCAACACCGCCTGGACCTCCGCCGAGCGGGTGGTCCAGGTCTGGGCCTTCCACGGGGGGACCTCCTGCATGTCGGCCCCAAGGCGGGCCTCACTGTCTGCCAATTGATTCCCTTGAACATCGAGAAAGCTCTCGTGCGAGTCATCCTTTGGCCCGCGAGCATGGGCTTTTACCTTGACGGCCTGGAAATCACCTTCCTGGCTGAAACTGTCCTGGAGCTGGGCCCGGATTCTGCCCCAGAGGTCGGCGCGTGGCCTCCTAGGGCTGCAGCGCCAGCGGGGACCTCTACGGAGGCCTCGAATGACTGAACTATTGTCGATCCCTACCCTCAGAGGAGGGTGAGCGCTATTCAGCAGCTTGAGCAATCCATACAATTCAGCACGGAGGACGGAGGCTAGGCTACGCAGCCCTGGGAGGGTACCCCGCATGGTCTTAACAGCCCCCCCGTCCTGGTCCAAGAAAACGTAGCCCCAACCGAAACTCTTGAGCCCTGGTGGGCCTCTGGCCGATCCGTCGGAGTAGGCCCACCCTGAGACCAGCGGGGGATTAACAAAATCGGGGTTTTCATTCTCCAGGGCAGAAATCCAATCAGACTGCGGGTCCTCCAGGGGGTGCTCGTGAAGCCCACGGGAGAAAAGGAGGGAGTCCGAGGAGGAGGATTCAGCACGATGCACGATCCCTTGGAGGCCCTCATCCTCGGCGACGGTGGCTCTCGCTGCTCCTCGGTCTGGGCAACAAAAGAAACGATGGTGCTGACATCCGACTTCAGCGCCACAAGCTTGACAGGACCTGTCGCCCCCGAAACCCGCGCGCCAGACCTTTTCCTGGGCCCAGAAGTCGCGGCCCATGTAGGCCAGGATAGCCGATCGCCTCTGCGGCGATCGGTTAGCCTTTCGTCGAAGGAGAGCCCTAATAGGCTCGAGGAAAGGACGGGTGACCCCGAGGTCCCTGGAAGCCGCCCAGGAGGTCATCACCGCAAATTCCAAACGGGACCAGATCAGCTTCTTGAGACACTGCGGTGCCGCCCTACGCAACTCCCACTGCTGCCCGAGATGGTCGGAGAAAACATGATGGGCAGGCCACGTCCACGAGAGAAGCCTGGGTGTGGCCCAGACGGCTGAAGCAGGTCCTTTTCTGTCTCCAGGGGTTGCTCCCAGGCTTGGCGGCAGCGGCCGCCGCAACAGCTCTGCGCCACCCCGCAGCCATGATCTCCTCATGGCTGCCAGCAAAGATAGCCTCCGCCCATTTGAGCAGTGGCTTCGTGCAGGCGCCGACCAGGGGGTCGCAGCGCAGCGTCCACAGGCGCAGCAGTCGGTCCTTACCGATTGCGTTCCCGCCCAGCGCTGAGGCCATGAGCGTCCTCGCTCGGGTGAGCCGAGTCGGGTCCATTCCGAGGCAGACCGCCCCATACAGCACAGAAGGGAGAAATCCCATGCGCGCGACTTGAAAGGTGCGCGCGCCCTGCTTGCCGAGACTCGATAACTTACTTCTACGCCGCCTAGCGCTCCCCATCCTGGCATCGCCTCTGGCGCGCAACGACACAACTCCTCCTCCCGCCGAGTCGACTCCGAGCTGCGTGCTGCTGGTCTGGACCTCCAGTCCAAGGCTGTGGGCCCAACCTTTGATGCGGGCTCGCAAGGAGCGCTGCGCTGCCATGATGAACCCCTTGCCCGTTGGCTTGTCTGGTCGGACCCTGGAGACGGGGATCCTACGGGCCTCCATTTCTTCTATGTACTGGGTTGTGGCCGCATGCAGCGAGGCCGAGACATCCGCCTCCGCACCTCGCGCCTGAATGCTTAAATCGTCGACAACAAGCTTCAGCGGCATGGCAGGGTGCTCCTGCGCCAGCCCGTCTACGACTGACAAGATGGCTAGCTTGAGGCATCTCGTGCCCCCGCTGCTACCCGCAATGGCTGCAGAGAACGTGGTGACCGAATGCACCGACACCACGCCGCGAAAAGAAACAACACGCTTGGCCGTGTATATCGAGATAAAGAGCTTCAAGAGCTGCAACCGAAACTGATGCTTGGGCGCCTCAGCCCACAGCAAATACATTGTGACATGCTCGAACGCCTTCTCTAGGTCTAGGACCGCCGCACCCGTTACCTCCCCAGGCTGGGCTCCTTCGTCGAACAACATTTGCTGCCATATCGCTTCCTCTGAGCCCCCGCCTGGCGCCGCGAAGTCGTAGTCTCGTCGAATCTCCCGCTCCCAGCCATGGAGCTGATGCGAATGCGCGCGCTCCACCAGCCGCGCGGCCGTGGTGAGGAGGCCGATGGGCCTAGTCCCCCCACCCTGCTTGGCCAACAGGAAGTACATCACGTAGCGCAGCTGGGGGGGGGGGGCACCTGGCCGTGCGCGACACGTATGCGACGAAGGCGGCCAGGAAGGCGAGCCCTTCGTCCGCCAAGCTGGCGAACCACCTGGGGTGCCAGTTGTCCACCCCGACCCCCGTGTGCTCTGGGAAGGCCTTGCATATGGACCTGATGTCGTCCGCTGTCGGCTCGACCATGCTATGCTCGAAAGTGGCCGACTCCCAGGGGCGTGGGAGCTCGCCTCGGCTCTGGGCGCCGTGGGAGGTCCAGAGGTCGATCCACTTCAGCGCCTCCAGGTCGACCGCGGCCTGAGGGCACGTCATGTCCAGATGTGTGTGCCCTCGGGCCCCGAGCGCAGGGTCGACCCCTGGCGCCACTTCGACATGCGGTGGACGAAGCCTGCACCTCCTTGTGAGCCGTCCTTAAGCCTCTGGCGCCACGCCTTGGCCCTCTGGTCTCGGAGGCCCTGCTCGATGACGTGGGCCCCCTGGGCCTCGCATGCGCCCCTGGGCCTGCGATCGGGGCTCTGGCCCATCGGGGGTGACCCCCCTGCCAGTGTAGTCGGCCTCGCCGACGAGGTCGCGGATGCCCTGCAGGTCGTGCTCGGCCGCCGCCGAGAACCCAGCCCACAGCTCCTCCAGCTCGGCGTCGCTGTAGTTTGCGCCACTGTCGAGGATCGGCCATGCTGGAGGCTCCCGACGACAGCCCACGGGGAGGCGAGTCGGGAAAGCCCGAGGCTTGACCAGCCTCCAGCCTAGCCGCTCCCGCAGCGGCCTCTCCGTCGCGGTGGCGACGGGGCTGCGCGGGGCGGTGGGCGCGTCGAGCACCTCCGCTGCACCGAAGGCTGACGCGATGCGCGTGTCCACCACGAAGTAGTCGATGACCCTCCCGCCTCCCTTGCCTTGGCAGGTGGGGGCGGCCGAGGAGAAGATGGTGCCCCCGACGTCGGCCACCCATCCCGTGGCCGTGAGCGTGTCGGGGGTGGTGTTGAAGTCGGCCTGGAGGACCCACGGGATGTCGTAGGCCCTCACTAGTTCGCCAATGGCGTCCAAGATGGACAGGTTGCGAACCGCCCAGCCCTCGGAGACCCAGAAGTAGGCGCTGAGGGCCATGAGGCCTCCGCGAAGAAACCCAGGGGCCCAGGCCGCCACCAGCCTTCCTGGCGAGCCTGGCGGCGAGAAGTCGAAGGTGTCCACGCCCTCGAGGTAGGTGAGGCCCACGCAGCGCGGGGCGACGATCCCCACCCCTGCCACTCTGCCGCCACCTGGCCCCACCGCCGCGGGTGCAAGGGCGACGGTGAGGTGCCTCTGGAAACAGCTGGCACTGATCTCGCCGACGTAGTCGCTGGTGAGGCGGTGCTCCTGAACCAGCATGATGGTGTTTCTGCCCAGCGGCATCTCGTCCAAGTGGTCGACGAGGGTGCCCCAGGCGCTGCCGCTGAGGCCTCTGAGCACCATGCCAGGCTTGGCGTGGCGCCCCTTGCCTCGCGATCTGGGCCTCCAGTATCCCTCTCCCCAGCTGGGCTGCATCGGCCACCCCCCCGTCGGGGGGGCCGAGCTGGGGGCGCTCGTGTGGGGAGGCGTCGGTCACCCGCACGTCTGCGGCTCTCCGTTCCACGAGCACA